TCGAATAAGGATAAGGCTTTTGAGGAGTTCATCCATATATAACTAGGAGCTTGAGATAAGCATTATGCTTGAATCCTATAAAATGAGACTTTTAAAAGACGAAGGCAATGTTAGCTATAAGAGTAAGGTAACCCCCATGGGTCTAAGATATACTTTGACTTGTGCATTGATTACTTGTTTGATATCTTTGAGAGATAAGTTAACTAATCTAATCATCAGCAGTAGAGATATACTAAACCAAGTATGAGAAATAACTAAAACATTAGCATTTGATACATGGCTAACACTTATAAAACAACTTGTAACACAATTCAGTTCCATGACAAATAGTCCATGTTTCATTTCACTTTCCTTTACTTATCCAATTTTCAAGTTATATAAACATGGCTTAGAACCTGTCCGAACAATTAAATGAGACAACGGCTCATATTAAAACACCTCCAATATCAACAATTCAAATGAGATTACAACTCATGTTAAAAACACTTTCATACTTCACAATTAATACACATATTCGCTATATTAATGGAGTCCTTCCCCTGTCTCCTCCTAAACAGGTTTGAGAGTCCATCCCCTATTTCCTCTCAAACCATGGAGTACATCCCCTATCTCTTCTCAAACAATATGCATATACAATGTATTTAAACACTTGTCATATGCAATGATCAAACAATACACGTATTTGCTGTATTATTTCAACCGTCATATTCAATGACATAACACGTTCGATTAGTTTCAGTTTTCCCTAATCAACACACAGTGTCTACAACAATCAAGACTATCCTCCACCGATAGCCCAAAGCAGTTATCTCTAAACAGATAATAGATTTATCAACAGATAAAATATCGACATTTTCATAGGTGAGTGATTAAATTATCCAACTACACCATTTACTCCCACAATTTCCCAATTTCATTATCCTCAACTCAATTTCACATTTTTCCAAATTAATTATTCAACATAATTAGGGCATTTTTTTCTCCCGCTTTCTCAATATCAACCTTAAGGTTCAATTTCACCAATTTGACAACAATAATACCATTTTCCAAGGTCTCACATACATATGGAATTTAACATTTTGAAAACCCCCATTTTATAACCTCAAACCAAACCCTAACTTTCCCAAAATTACCAAACAACACCACTTAATCAAAATGACTAAAACTTATGTCAAAACTCATAGATTAGAGTAGGTTATCCCTACCTTAATTTTCGAAGCTCAAAGGAGAAGGGAGGTGAAACTCAAAGTGCTCCAAATCTACAACTTTTCAGATTAAAGTGAAGCCCTCGCAAAGCTCTACCTTTCTTCTAAAGGAACTAGGGTAGAAGACCACTAGAACTAGATGAAACCCTAGAGAGAAGGTGTATGTAGAGAGAGAGGGAGCCGGATCTAGGGTTTGAAATGTAAAGTGGATCAAAAAAATGAAGAAGAAGACTGTTGTTGTCTACTGATATATTCGAGGCTCGCTCGAGCGAAAGAGTGGTTGCTCGAGCGACCAGACACAAAGAAACCTCGCTCGAGCACAGAAAGCCTCGCTCAAGCCAACAATTCGAAGTTTCAGGTCTGCAACCAGAAGCACGCTCGAGTGCAAGAATGCTCGCTCGAGCGAAGAAACTCAAAACATACAGCTCGCTCGCTCGAGCTAAGGAAAGCTCGCTTAAGCCAAGAAATGCAACTCTCAGGTTTAGAACTGGACGCAAACGCAGGCTCGAGCGCAAGACTTCTCGCTCGAGCCACCAGACACATCACCCAACTCTCGCTCGAGCGAAGGAACTAAAACAAAGAGTTCGCTCGAGCGACAAAAGCCTCGCTCAAGCGAAGACACCAAAATCTGGGCAGCAACCATTTGTTTCAAAACTCACCCACCCTGTTACAAACCTGCCCAACACATCCTAAAAATCATATTAAAAGAATTGAAGGACGGAAACAAGATTTAAACAACAACCAACACCACGGAACCTAAGTCCGGAATACAATAATCAATGGAGGGAAAACCGGGATCGCTATAGTATCTCTAGCATGTTGTTTGACAGACATATTAGAATATCAGACGATATAGGTTCCATCACCTCAGGTTGCCGAGGTAATAGAACCTAGGGGCAATTATGAGAATGTATTTTTAGAGGTCGTGCCACGTGGCCAAGGTGCCGCCAAGGTGTTGGCCGAGGTGCCACGTGGACGAGCCAGATTGTCGAGGTGATTATGGTATTGTCGAGATCTTATACGGTAATACCGGAATTCGCGATATTTGGATAGAGGACAAGAGTCCTAGATAAGTGATGCGCTTAGTTCGAATAAGGATAAGGCTTTTGAGGAGTTCATCCATATATAACTAGGAGCTTGAGATAAGCATTATGCTTGAATCCTATAAAATGAGACTTTTAAAAGACGAAGGCAATGTTAGCTATAAGAGTAAGGTAACCCCCATGGGTCTAAGATATACTTTGACTTGTGCATTGATTACTTGTTTGATATCTTTGAGAGATAAGTTAACTAATCTAATCATCAGAGTGCCCCCGAGTGAATGAGCCACTGTGGTATTCTTGTCTTCTTGTTGGCAGGTGTTTAGTTTAATCTATTATGCCGTGTGCTTTCTAGCTAAGTTCCATTCCTTGTTTGGTTATGAGGTCAGAAATCAACACCCACATTTATCCTAAATAAAACTTCTTTAGCCAAGTTAAAATAGGTAAAAAGTCGGGCTAAAAAAGTTTATTCCAAATGAAACCCAAGTATTACTTTAATTTCAAGTTTACCAACAAAAAAAATAGTAGATTTTTTTTTTTTTTTTCCTGTGTTTGATTTAATTTTGAAATCAATTTTAGGTTTTGAGACTTTGAAAATAGTTTTGAAAATTGAAAACTTTGGTTATGAATTTTCAATGCTAGTTTGTTAGTTCTTTTTAGTCTTGTGCTTTTTCGTCTTGTAATAAAAACTTTTTTATAATATTATAGTTTTCCATTCCTTGTTTGGTTATGAGGTCAGAAATCAACACCCACATTTATCTTAAATAAAACTTCTTTAGCCAAGTTAAAATAGGTAAAAAGTCGGGCTAAAAAAGTTTATTCCAAATGAAACCCAAGTATTACTTTAATTTCAAGTTTACCAACAAAAAAAAAGAAGTAGATTTTTTATTTTTTTTTTTCTGTGTTTGATTTAATTTTGAAATCAATTTTAGGTTTTGAGACTTTGAAAATAGTTTTGAAAATTGAAAACTTTGGTTATGAATTTTCAATGCTAGTTTGTTAGTTCTTTTTAGTCTTGTGTTTTTTCGTCTTGTGATAAAAACTTTTTTATAATATTATAGTCAAATTTATTTACTTCTTCTATATACATAATTTATATGTACTTTTTAAAGGCATCTAATCTAATTTATACGGCAAAACTTCACTTAGTATTTTTTTTGTTTTTTATAAATGTTTTAAAAATTTTAATATTTCTTTTCTAGGTTTATATCCATTCAATCTATATACATTTAAAACGTTTCACATTTATAAAAAAAAATAAATAATAATAAATAAATAAATAAAAACTTTTTATAAAATTACTAAGTAATGAAAAATGTATATATATAAAATCACCCAGTTTAAAAACTATTACAATTTTAATGTTTTATATATTTATTAAATTTATTTTTAATTTCTTTACATTTTATTTACTATTTAAGTATACCTTGATGGTATACATCTAAAATATAAAAAATTATTTTCCTACTATTTTGAGAGAGAGAAGAAGAGAAAGAGAGTGTTGGATTTTTTAGTTGAGGTTTTTGGACTTGGGCTTCGTTTGGCATCCTAGGTTGTGGCTAAAATAGTTACAAAATAATAAAATAGACTAAAAAATTGATAAGACAAAATATCACATTTAAACTATAATCATTTCAATTTTTCTCTTATAAAAGTGAACTCACTTCCTAAACGAAGACTTGGTCATTGACTTTTGAACCTTCATTTTATTTTATTTTATTTTTTATTTTTTATTTTTTTTGGCGTCCTGGAGGCGAATGCGGAATCACATCTCTTGCATTAAGGATGAGCAGGGTAATTTAATTACGGAGCCACTTGCAATTCAACAATGTTTTGTGCAACACTTTCAGAAATTGTTCATGCAAGCTCGAGATTCTTTGGACTCAGAATGTACAGGGCCACAGCAGTAACAAAGAGGCATGGACATTCATTATTGATGGATCATGGAAATCTGCTACAGGAAATGCAAGAATAGCATGGGTTTGTTTGGACCACAGCATGCACCAGAGCAAACAGCAAGTTATAGTGAAGACATCCTTACAAGATCCATTGATGGCTAAAGCGGATGCATGCTTGGAAGCGGCTAGATGGGCGATGAAGTAGAGAATGGCGAGCATCACAGTACAAACAGATTGCCAAGTCATGGTGACAATGCTCCAGATGAAAGGAAAGGAACCCGATTGGAAGATTGCAACTATTCCAACTGATATTATAAATTATGCTAAGAACTTGGAATATGAGGTTTTTTTTTTGAAAGAGGTAAAAAGTCAACTTTTAACTTTTTATTCAAAATTGATAAATCAAACATATTTTTTAATTTTTTGATCTAAATGTTAATCAAAAAACTAAACCCAACTGTATCTTAGATTGGAAAAGAGTTCTGAAATATATATTGTAAAAACCCCAAACCAAACAGGTTTTGAGTTTTGAAAAAATAATTCAAAACCTTAGCCAAGGGGGCCTTTGTCTAATCGGGCAGAATGTAAATATATAATTTTAAAAAAAAAATTATTTAAAAATCATAAAAGAAAAAATAATAATAAAAAAAGAAAAATGTTTGGGGACCCTAATTCTGTGGCTCAAATGTGACTCAAATAGCCAAAACAACGTCGTTTTGGCCATTTTGATGTTGTTTTGTACTCAAAACGACGTCGTTTTGGCCATTTGAGCCACATTTGAGCCACAGAATTTGAGCCCTCTACCATTGCTCATAAAAAAATCACTTAAAAAATTAAATTAAACCACCACCTAAATAAAATAAAGAAAGTTGGTTGGCAAAAATAACCTAACAAATGAATCCCCAGAACCAACAATCTCAACAACACTACTAAAAAGAGAGAGACATCACAAAACCCTGCTAGATCCGGGAAAATTTCCTTAAAAAAAAGAAAGAATTAGAGATCAATGACAGAAAATCACTGAGAAAAGACGCCTAATCTACAAATTGAATATCATCTGTATACCCTGTATAAACCTAAAATTCCATTTTAACAATAGCATTTGAAAATTCTGGAGTAGTAGTTCCATATTGCAACCAATCCTTCGCACAGATAAGGGCTTCGAGTGTCGTCGGCCTCAAAGAAGTCTGGTAACTATCCATCTTCTTTTTCACCGTGTCAAATACTGAATCCGGAGAAACAGTAGAAACTGGGATCGACAGAATATCAGATGCCATTTTCGAAAGGGTTGGGTACTTTAATCTGTTTAGTTTCCACCAACCCAAAACATCAAATTCTTGTACTCGAGGCAAAAGAGATTCTTCTAGATACTGATCTAATTCTGATTTCATCTGCTGATCACCAGTAATCTCAGAGATATAGACCTCAAAATCTGAAAGACCGTCACCAGTAGAAAGAAGGGTTCCTTCTTGATCAGGCAGCTCTGTTTTGCCAACTACTTCATTCCCTTCTTCCACAAAAGTTGGAGGAGGAAGCGATTGTACGATATATTCAAGAAAGAGCTCACGAACACCCTCGTCAACAATCTTCATCCAGGCCTCAGCATCCTCACTGTAGATTCTAGAAAAGCTAAACTCCACAAGCTTCATTTTGAACCTTGGGTCCATAACAACAGCACTTGCTAGAACCAGACTTGTGTCCTTCCAATATTTATCAAACTTTTCTTGCAAAGGTTTGATCAGATTACTAATAAAGGGGTCCTCACTCATGCTTGCGTGAGTCAATTCAAGCTGAATTTTCCACACTTCATGAAAAAAGGTATTGGCAGTTGGGTACGTTGTGGTAATTAAAATGTTAGCCGCATCAAATAAAAGCTTTAAATATGTGCTGAGAGTTTCCACCTGTTTCCACTCATCCATAGAGGGGGTTTCCTTGTAATTTGGGTCGGAAGTGTCCAAGCAAGAAAAGACTTCCTTCAATTCTGAGGCAGCCACCAGCATATGGTAAGTAGTGTTCCATTTTGTTTGATCATCAATAATTAGGCTCTTCATGCTTGGCACTTGAAGCTGTTGTTTCAGCTCGAAGAATTTTTCTTCAATAGCGTCTGAGGTTTTCACATACTTCACACTTTCACGGACTTTCTTAATGGTTTCCTTCATAGACCCTAATGCATCTTGGGCAAGACAACTTAAAACACGGGCGTAACAATTTCCAATCAATAGCTGTCCACTGAGAATAAGTGGATTCTTGATGGAGAGTAAACCTCTGAGATTTTCTCTAACAGTGTCATTTGCAAAGGATTGATCAAGAGTGAGAGTAAGTAGCTTGCTGTCCAAACTCCAATCCCTTAGGCAAGCAACGACAGCATGATTGAAGGCAACTTCTGAATCGGGAGACGGTACCGTGATAACATTAAGGATCCGACGATTCAATTTCCAATCGACATCAATAAAGTGTCCTGTAAGAAATACATAACCTAGGGTTTGATCTGAAGTCAACATATCCAATGTAAGGCTCATGCGTCCAGGAATACCATCAAGAAGGTTTAAAAGGCTTTGCTTCTCCCTCAGGTAGATACCCAAACATTCCCTTTGGATGGCATCAAAGCTAACCATATTAAACTGAGGCTGAAGATTCCGTACAAAATCAAAAAACCCAGTATGTTCAACAATGTTAAGTGGATAATCATGCAAAATTATCATCTTGGCGATTTCATGATTGCAAATGTTCTGATTGAAGGGGATACTGGCAAAAACAGGAGTAGTTCTATAACGCTTTCTAGGTGGGTCCGTACCACTAGCAGCACCATCAGTTTTGATACCAGGGGTATACGGAATTAACTGATTGTTCTCCTCATTATTACGTCGACTTACTGGACAGATCCCCAAGGCAATGTGTCGTTTGAGATGGCTTGTGCCCGCTAGCTTCGAGCCAGTAATGTAGGCAAACGATTTCTTGCACTGCTTACAGCAGGCCCTGGTGCAGCCAGCCCCAACAGTTTCGATTGTGAAGTACTCCCATACAATGGACTTTTTTCTCCGACGTTTGTTAGAATTTCCATCCAAACTGGGTGGCTCGTTGTTATTAGTTGGGATATCCATGTCCATGTCAAAGGAGTCCTACAAAAGAAGGAAAAAGCATCATGAAAAAGAGTATATATGATAGATACATTGACAATAAATGTCTATATTCCTTAGTATCGTGATCTAATGAAACAATTTAATTTGCTAACTTGGTTAAATAGTTGAAATATTGATCAAAGCAGATAAAGCTAATCCAGAGTCTGCTAAGGTCCTTGTTGGTGTTTTCAACAAAAAATTTGAGTCTAATCATCAAGGCTTCAACACAAGGCTTATGCTTCTAATCAGGTGCCGATATGTGCACCAAAAAAAATCAGTCACTAATTGGAATTCCCCAGCTAAACATCACACTAATCCTAACAGGTTGGCAGCTTTGTAACTGCCAGAAAAGAGTGACTTCAGAAAAAGCATGAAGGCATTAGCATTTGTGAATAATTTAAAGATAAAATGACATTAAATTGAGATGGAAACCACTCGGGATCACCTCTAAGATATTAAGTGGGGCAAATCTAAAACAAAGGATTGAAAAAACAGGCATCTTCTGCAGGACCAGTAGCATTTTTACAATTTAGTTTTGAACTTTACTGTATACATGTCGCACTAAACACCAAAACACACGCAACTTTATAAATACAAATAGGCAAACAATTTTAACATGTGCAGCATCACGTAGTAAACAGTTAGGGGGGGGGGGGAAACAAATGAAATGATGATGATGGCATTCAATTTTACAATCGTCCCCGAACTCATACCCATCCATGAAAACAGAAAGCATTTCTCATAAAAAGGGAACAAAAAAAAAATTATTAACTGCATTACACATCTTTCCAATTTTGAAGAAATTCAAACAAGCTTTAAGATACAGTTCTTTTCTCTCCATTTCCCTCTCATTAAGCTCTCTGAACGAATAATTTGAGAGGAGATACTTCCTTTTCTTTCCTTCTCTTTTCTCCCCAAATCACCCAATCCAAATGGACTGTGATAGCTTTATTCTACACAAGTGACATGACAATCTAAATTTTTTGAGTCCATATACAGAAATCTGATATTACTCTAAAATTTCTGAGAAACACATGAAACAACTTCCTTATCTAAACAAACCCAGGTTAAAAAACAAAACAGTGTTTAAGACAGAAAATTTTCTTCTAGAGTATCACACATTCAACACAAGGTACCAACCCCCTGCATAAATTAACAAAACATAATAATGTATTTAGACTGTATCAGTTCCTTTCAGGGGTTTACCTATATTAGCCCTAAACAATTCATCTTCAACCAAAATTTAAAATTTCAAACCCTAATATACAAATCACACAAACCTTCATATACATAATCAACAAACCCCAACTGTGGGTTCCAAGAAATAAAATCAAGAAAACAAAAATCGAACAACGAATTACATATATACAGAGACAGAACAAATGGGTTAAAATTCTTACTTTGAAACACGGATCACCGAATGAAAGAACACCTGTACGATCAAACCCAATCTAGGGTTAGGGTTTTTCAAATTGTTTTTGAAAAAAAATAAAAAATAAAAAATTCAGAGGGATTGGAGGAGGGAGGAGATAATGGGCTTGAGATTGGAAAACGAAACCCTAAATGGACCTAGGGCTTGATCTGGTGGCGGCTATGAGCTTTTCTTAGGCCTTTTTAGAGGGATGATGAGAGAGAGACAGAGAGTGAGAGAGAGTCAATATTTATATGGGTACATGGACCCTAATCCCACCTTGGTTCTTGTACATTGAGCCCACCTTAGTTATTGAATCTGGACCGTCCAATCTCTTGAGTCGGTGATCTGATTTCAATGGACGGCCGTAGTTAGTTTGATTTTTTTAAAAGGAAATTCCGTTCACTGGGTAAAATAAAATAGAAAAATCATATAAAAATCTATATTTTAAACTCATTTTTTAAACTTAATAATGTATAAATGATATGATTAGTTAATCATTGAGAAGATATGCTAGAAAGTGTTACTTTAGGTATTAGCCTGTTTGGTAGAGCTGTGGGAAAGTAATTATAAATTATTGTCCCGTTTGGTGTAGCTGTTAAAATAATTTATAGATTATAGTTTAACAGATTATAGATTATGACTTTAATTAGAAGTTGTTAATCTGTTTGGTGTAGCTGTTAGATTATAGATTTAAGTTGCTGAGTAGTGTTTGTTAAATAAGCTGTAAAATAGCTTTTTCAATTAATTTTTATTTTTTGTTTGTCTACATTTCTCATAAAAAATAATAATAATAATCTATATCCATTTGGGTCTTTTTTTATTTTTAAAAAAATAAAAAATAAAAAAAAAATTAAGAGTATAACCATAAATTAACATGTCCGCAGCAGAAGCTGATAATCAGAAGTAAGGGGTGAGCAACTTCTCAGAATCAGCTTTTTTAAATTAAAATAAGCTGTTAGAATCAGAAGTTGTTTGAAATAAGTTTAACCAAACAGTCCAAAATAACTTTTTCAAAGCTAAAAGCCATAAGTTAGCTCTGAAAAGCTGAAACAAACACCCCATATAGCTTAACAGATTATAACTTACAGCTGTGAGTATAAGCTGGTAACATGTTTAGTGTAACTGTGGGATTATAGATTTAAATTACAGAATAGTGTTTGGTAAATAAACTGTAAAATAACTTTTTCTGTATAATTAACTCTTTTGCCCTTATATGATATAAAAATGATAATTTTGTCATTTTTTTTTCAATTTTAATTTAAAAAAATTATTTCATTAATAAAAGTTAATATAATTAGTATTAATTAATATCAACTAATATAAAAAAATTGATTAGTATCAATTAATTGCTTAATCAGTATCAATTACTACTAAAATTATTAATTAGTATCAACTAATGGCTTAATTAGTCTGAATTAATACTAAAATTATTAATTAGTATCAATTAATATTAATAATTAATTTTTATTAGTATGAAATAATATTAATAATCAACAATTATTATTAATTAGCATCAATTAATAATTAATTCATTACAAAAATATACAATATTAAATTTTTTTGACATTTCTGATTCTGTTTTTATTAAATTTTTTTATTACAATTAATAATATAACAATTGTTATTTATCATCAATTTATCAATTTATATTAATGTATCAATTTTGTCCAATTATTATTATTATTATTATTATTATATTATTTTTAGTAATATCTCATTTTTTTCTTTATAGTAATGAATGTATCATTATTAATGTATTATTATCAATTTTTCCATTAATTAATATTATCAATTAATATAAATTACATATATTCATCAATATTAATTTTTTTCATCAATTATTACATAAATTACATATATTAATATTATCAATTATTATTAATTTTTCCATCAATTACATATATTCATCAATATTCTTATTAATAGTATCAATTAATATAATTTTTTTTCATTTTTTCATTTTAAATTAATTAGTCTCAATTAATTAGCATCAATTATTATTTTTTATTCATTAATTATTTTGTTTTTTTTATTAAAAAAACACTGAAAAACCTCCAAAAAAAAAAAATAATGAAAACCCTAACTCCGGCGGGATGAACCGGCGCTAGGGTTTCATTCAGATCGCGATGGCAGATGGTGCAGATCAACCAGCGCTAGGGCAGATGGTGCAGATCAACCGGCGCAGATGGCAGATCGCAATGGTGCAGATCGCGATCGCGAAGTGGGAGACGGGTTCGCGAAGAAGGAGAGACAAAGAGGGGGGAGAGAGAGAGAGAGAGAGAGCTCGGTCGCCGGAAATACATGCTCGCCGGAAATCGCCTAGCTCGCCGGAAATCGCCTCTCTCGTTTGTGTGAGAGAGGAAGAATGAGTGAGAAATGGTTTATATAGTGGCATTTTCGTTATTACTTAAGTTTTGGAGGGGCATTTAAGTCATTTTGTCTCTCCCCAAACAGCTGCGCGCATAAGTCGTTTTTTTAAGCACCTCACGAGCAACTTCAACTTTTAAGCCGAATTTGGCTTAAATTAAGCCATAATCTATGTCTATAAGTTGTACCAAACACACCATAACAACTTAATTTAAACCAAAAGTTGATTTAAGTTGAAATTAAGTTCTGCCAAACACCCACATTATCATATTATTAGACTTGAAAATTAAATCTAATTCTTAAACGTATCTAGCAATGTCCGATAAAATAAATCCACAAATAGACGCGACTGTGGTTCGGCCCGTGGGCTCATCATAGATTTTGCTCACAATAATATAAATCATTCATTTTCAAAATCATAATGTATAAGTTATTTATAATAAAAAAATTAAATCAAATCAAATCGATAACTATAGTCATATTAATTTATTAAGAAATTTTAATATATACTTGTTGGCTTTTTGGCTTTTCGAAGGGTATTTTTGTGAATGTGAGCGTACCAGCAATGATCAATCAGTCCTAAATCAATCATTTTCAAAATCATAATGTCTAAGTTATTTATAATAAAAAAATTAAATTAAATCAAATCGATAACTATAGTCATATTAATTTATTAAGAAATTTTAATATATACTTCTTTAAAAAAAATATATCATATACACTTCTAATTATGTTATTTTCTTTCTTAGTTATAATTAATTTTCTTCTTTAATCATGATATTATTTTAGTTATACCATATATATGTTTAGTTACAATATTTTTTTTATTTTTTTTTTAGTTATGACTCAGAAAATTGAAATTAAGCCATTTTTCTTTTTAGTTACAAGGTGTGCACCATAGTATTTTCGTAGTTTATTACATTTGTTTTCTAAAAAATGAATGATCTAATCTTTAAATAATATTTGTCGTTCATTTTTTTTTTAAATAAATACCATAAACTAACATAGCAAAGGTTATCAGACCGACTTAATTTTTTTTAACAATGATTTACACAGTGTGATATAAAAAATGAATAATTCGGATCATTGAGACGGGACCCATAAAACCCCACGGGCCTGAATAACACAGCCCAATCCCATAAAATAAATAGGCTCATAAGGGAGTTTGTAGCCCAAAAAAATTATAAAGTCGTTATAAATTGTAATATCACTCTTTTTACTTTTTACATAATAAAAAAAAATTAACTAAAATAATTAATTTCTAAACGAATCCTAAATTGTGGAGTCTTTTGAAAAGATGGTTAAAAGTTAACTTTTTGACTTTTTTAGCTTTTTTGACTATTTTCTATAAGAGATAATGTGACTCAAAATGAGTCAAAAGCCATGTTTGATGACCTCATAATTTTTTTGTACTTTGTTTATAGAAAAAAATAAAAATATATTAATACACATTTTTTAAATATATATATAAAAAATATTTTTGATAAGTATACGGAAAAGAGATAGAGGGATGTTGCTGGGCACAATAGCTTGCTGTGAGGCTTGATGGAAACTTGTTTCAAATCTATTTCAATAATCTGAACTATTCACATTGTAAGATTCGTTAAATAAATATTCTTAAAAAAATCAGATTAATTGGACACATATATAACCCCATAACAAAATCACATTTATTTTTTAAAAAAATAAACGGTTAATATGATTTTGATAATTTTTTAATAACAATTAAGATTTGATCATTGGGTTATGGTCAATTAGAATGAAATAAAAATTCGCCGGACAAGTGAATTTTTTTTTACTAAAAAACAAAAAAGGCGGGGATCAAAAATTCAACCCTATTAATAAAGTATTATTCCTAAACACACTTTTTTTTCACCTTATAAAAAAATCGAAAAGTCACTTAAAAAGTCAAGTTTCCAAACGTATCAAAATGATATTAATAATAGTAATGCTACACATTCATTGAATTTGGACTAGTTTGAATCGTCCAAATTTGTGCATGCAAGTCTCCGGCCGATCATTCGAAAAGTTATCCAACCGGTCATCCGAGAGTATGCTGGTCATTGGCAGACATTGTTTGACAAAGGTGATAGTTGTGGTTGATAAGGGTGACATCGGTCATCCAGACGGTCGTCTAATTTATATAATTCTGACGATTCAGATAAACTCAAATTCGTTGTATCAATAATTTTTGTATTAATATTAGCAACAAGAAGCCCACGTTGCAACCTCATCATCTGCTATCCATAGCTGGTCACAATTTGCATACAGATCATTACCATAGCTAATAGTCCACCTTGCCATTACAAAGTCTGATTGCTGGGTTTAAAGTTTTCAATTTCCCTAACCAATGTGCACTGTGACCAAGTAACCTCTCAAGCCTGTTACCTATTCACTTATAAAACATCATACAAAGTGAAAAACACATAACTTGTTAGAATTACAGCCAAGAAAAGAGGAAACAAAGCAATAACCATATCCAATTCTTTCAGTGCATGCAAAAACAAAATTATGATTGCTGATGTTAAATTTTACAAGACATGTCATTTTACCGGCCGTGACAGTGACAGAGCCAAAAATTCAAAATAGAGAACTCACACCATTAAAAAGAAGATACAAAATCTATAATAAACAACAAAGAGATACTATTAAATTTATAAATTTTTTTGATCCATTGTTAAATTCAATATTACAATTGTCGTGAGAATTATGTCAATATAGCCTAAAAATCCAGAGTCAACAACCCAACTAAATTTATGATTAACAAATTGAACACTATCAACTCAACAAAAAATCCCACAATGGAAAAAAACAATAAACTAAACAACTCCCATGAAAAGAATGAAATGTTCAATTAATTCAATTTTTACCATTAACTTTGCAGTTTAGAGTATAAAAGAACAAGCTCACAAAAAACCAAAAAAAAAAATAGAGCACTTTTAAAAAAATTTAAATACAATTTTTTTTACATGGTTTAAAGAGGGGACACTATTATTATTTTATGAAGGACAAATTAGACATAAACTTCATATATAAGGGAAATGGTATAAATATGAAAAACCCAGGGAGGCACGTGACTCCCTGGTCCTACATTGGCTCTGCCTCTGTCTACAAACGAAAAAAGAAAAAAAAAATTCTTTAGCAAAACAGAGGGCTCTATTTGTTCGAGTTTGAAGGCATGCAGGTTCTATTTTCCTGCCAACCAATGCATACAACAGTTGTACTTGACAATCTATCGAACTTGCCGCTGCAGTAGTTTTCTGATACACTAATCCCCACCACCACCACCTCCGAACATCCCCATCATGTCTTTAGCAGAACCCGAACCCATTTGTTTCATCAAGTTTTGTAACCCGCCCATGCCACCGATCTGCTTCAGCATCTGTGGGGGAAGGACTTTGCTCATATGTTGTGCGTTCATGTTGCGTGATAAAGCACTCATATCTCCCTTCTTAGGAATCTTCAGCCCCTTCATCTTGCTCCAAATCTTGGCGAGTCGCTTGTACTCTTCGAACATTTCCATCACTTCCCGAACGTGTCGACCCGATCCCCTTGCTATCCTCATGATCCTTGATTCGTTCATGAGCTTTGGGTTCGAACTATCCAACTCTGCAACATAAGTAGTAAAATCAGAAAAATGGGTTAACATTAAAGCTGCGTTTGGTTTAAAGATTTCAGAAGGGATTTACACAGGTAAAAGAAAATGAAATATAAGCTGAATTTTTGTTCCTTTTCCTGGTTTCCTTTCTCTCTGGAAATTCCTACTCAAATCTTTAATCCAAAAACCTAAAGTATTCCCCAAGAGAAGATGATCTTTCAGTTGGAACTACCAAGACAGAAACATATTAGCATTATTGGACTTAAGTTCAACTTAAATTTACAGCCCCAAGACACTACTTTAGCAACCAAAAAATAAAGGCACAAATAGACCAAATCAAAATAGCGTTGCTTGCCTTCGTTAGTCATTGAATCCATCATTGTCATGTAACGTTTGATCTTTGCCTGGCTTTCCTTTTCACGACCTTTTGGCATTAACTCTGCACTAAATCCTGGAAGCATTGAAAATACCTATACAGAACAGTGGTGAATTAAAAACATGAATTAAGGCTCTGCAACGAAATTCCATGCAAGTGAGTGACAAAGGGAAAAGAGATAAAAATCAAATCAATAAATGACACTCAAATAGCCAATATAGCATTCCTTTGGCTTACATGCACTCGCCAAATTCCACTTGCCAAACAATTCGGTTACCTTATGTCGACTTCTCCTGGTAAAGGGCATTGTTAGAATGATGTATTTTTGGTGGGGAAACCCTTAACAGAGCCTGAACCACATGCTCAATGTTGTTGGCGCTCTGGTAACAAAGAAAACCACCACTGGCAACATCTGGCCTCTAAGGTCAGTGTGTAAAAAAAAGTTTCTCAAACTGCTTACCACCAGGTGGCCTCTAACATCAGTTCTCTCTTAAAATTTTCCTGTTAGAACTGTATTTTTGGTCATGTCAGGCAGTGATGCAGCCACAATTTTAGAAAATCTAATTTTACTTTTATTATTTTGGAATTATAATTTGATTATTTTGGTTAAGTTTCCTGATTTGTGATTATTTAATCTTTCTATTTTATTAGTTTATTGTTCTACAAGAATTAGGTTTAATTTACTATAAATAATGATATAAGCCTTGTGGCTGAACAACTTTGGTGATTAATAAAATTTCAGGATCTTTTTTTTTCTTCCAACAATGGATATTCTGAGAGAGTCAACCACTGTTGATGCCTTTATTTCCGATATTCTTACTGAAACAATAGAATTTGTGAAGGGTTTTTTAACGGACTCAAAATCATCATTCCAAATGCTGTGTGTAATGCTTCCCTACATTAGTTCAGAGCAAATTCACCATAAAAATTTTCATTTGCAAATTGCCAATTTGCTTTACAAAAGCTATTGCATCTTCTCAAAAAGAAACTGCAAAAATTAAAGATTCTAGTAATATTTATGAATCTTCCGTAAAAGAAAGCAAATAACGACAGATCTAGAAAAATGTACAATCGCTAGGCAATTAGCAGCAATTCAGAAAGCGTTTAATACTATGAACATGATCATAGAGCACATCAACACATCTTTGATCAAGCTTCAATAAAACCAAATGGTAAATTAACACACCTGGCCAATAGGACCCATTTTGAGTATGTTTTGAAATTGCTCATACATAATCCTCAAGGTGAAATTTCCTTCAGAAAGCTTTTGTAGGAGCTCAGGCTGTTGATCCATAGGTACCACTTCATGAATTTTGTCCATGAATCCAGACCAGTCACCCATGCCTAATTTAAATTCAAATAAAACAGAGTCAAAACATTCAGAAGTATTTTACTAATACAGCCCAGAAAGAACAATGTCAACACCAAAAAATATAAAGGTATCGTGAGTCCATTACGAAAAGAAGCAGATGATAACCTAAAAGACGACTGACAAATGGTTTAACATCAAAAACCTCAAACTCATCCATATGCTCTCCAGTTCCAATAAATATTACAGGGCTTTTTGTTGCAGCAACTCTGCATATAGAAAGCACAAAATAATCAAAATGTCAGTAACAAAACACAGCCATGATTTATAATTTCCATGCATTTTGTTAAAATGGAAAAAATGTCTCGACTTTTAAGTATAGAAACTTAAAAATTCAGGTGGCTTTATGCTTAAATGTGAGGATTCCAACAATTTCTTAGTTATATCTTCTTCCTCAAAGATGAATCAACATTATTTCTCTGGAAAGATGAATCAACATTTGCCTTTATTATAATTACTTTAGAAGTTGTATTGTTAAAGGCATGCCAAGCTCATATATAAATTCATGAAGAAGATCAATAGCATCATAAAGTGGGAAGAGCACATGGAATAAATTAGCAATGCAATGCCCAAGTATCCAAGATTATTCAAACACACTTACAACAGACTAAGAAAAAGGATGTAACATTAATGACCTCAAACAACTTGCTGCGAAAATGAAAAATAACCTTGAAGAGGTGCCACAAGGTACTTAGTTTAGAAGGTCTTGCTTTTTCCTTTTTCTTTTTTGTCCTTTTTTGATGGGTAGGTTAGAGAAGCTTCATGTTTATCTAAACCCAAACAATCATATGGAGATGCATTGACAAAAAAGGTAATAATAAATAGAATTTTTCTTTAACCAAAATTGTCAGACATGAAACCTATGTAATCTGGCACATGTCACATCTGAACATACAAAGAGTGCGCGAACACTATGGATTGCATAATTTATTTGGCAGTGCAAACATAATTTCTTCAATCATTTCACCAAATCAAAACAAAACGGCATTTTATATCACACCACATACACAATTATTTCAATGCCAGATTCAAAATCTTGAAAGTAAGTACTGCGTTAAAAACTTACGCACTAAGAGCACCACCACCCTTTGCATGACCATCCATCTTGGTAACAATCACAGCTCCAACTGCAACACTTTGCTTGAATGCTTGAGCCTGATCAAATGCTGCTTGACCAATACTACTATCCATAACAAATATAACAAGATCCGGTTTCTGGAAGATTCACAGACAATACAAGATTACCAACTGTAATAAACAGTAATAACATAGTGCAACACAATGCACCAGGATATACCGTTGCTTCAGAAACTTGACGCATTTCTTCAAAGAGAGCAACTTCCTGTTTATGGCGTCCACTGGTGTCAACAATTATAAGGTCACAATTTTCCTGCTTGAATCTTTCTACGCCTTCAACTGCAATTTTAACAGGATCTGACTCCATATAGCTGTCAACAAAAGGCATATGCTATGACGAGCATTGAATAGTACATTCATAACCCAAAAATGAAGTGAGACCAAATCAATAGAGGCTCTGACGCTACAAGCATTTGGGAAGAGGTCTCCACATATGGTTAAAGGAAAATCTATTAAAGGAACAATAGCTACATGCACAAAGATATAACAATGAAATAAAAGTTTTGTTTCAGTGAAGGCTACAAAAAATTAATTGGTGTATATAGACTGTGATATATATATACAAAACAAAGGTCTAAAGTGCATCTTGCATTAACCCAACTAATTAAGAGCACCAACTCATCAACACCCCATTGCCCAATTACTAAGATTCCTCATGAACACTATGAAATCTGCCCTGGATTGATAAACCAACTTCGTCGTTACAACAGGCTAAGTTTGCCAACTTGTGAAAATTTGCCCATTCAAATTCATGCTCTCTTTTTTTTCTTTGTTCTTTTTTCTTTTGTTTGATAAGTACTCGTCTTATTAAGAGCACCAACTCATCGAAACTCCACTGCCCAATTACTAAGATTCCTCCTGAATACTATGAAATGTACCCTGGATTGATAAACCAGCTTCATCCTTACAGCAGGCTAAGCTTGCAATCTGTGACAGTTTTTGCCTATTCGAATTTAGATATGGCAATTGGAACCCAACCCGACGGGGACCCGATCCCCCGACCCCGAATTGAGCGGTTATTCTCCGAAAAATATCCCCGACGGGCCAGGGATGGTATTAAAAATTGAATCCCCAATGATATTCGGGGCCGGGGCCGGGGATACATGTTTTAGTCCCGGACCCGGCCCGACCCCGATCCGCTTCCCCCCGACATGAAATTACTATTTTGCCCCTATTTATGTATAATATATGTGTATGTGTAGGGTTTGGATGAACAAACACTCACACACAAACACAAAAAAGCGCTCTCGCCTCTCTCTCTGCAGGTGCTCCTCCCTCACACACAAAAACAGCTCTCTCTCTCTCTCTCTCTCTCTCTCTGCAAATGTTCCTCACACACAAAAACAAAGTTGTCCTCTCCCTCCTCCCATCTCGCGGATCTCCGATCTCACCGATGGCGGTGGCTCTGGCTCCTCCAACATCCTCTCCCTCCTCTCATCTCGCCGATCTCCGATCTCGCCGATGGCGGTGGCGGCGGTTTCTCCGCTGTCTCCCAGATCTCGCCGTCGCCGATCTCCCTGCTCAAGGACATCACGGTGACGCCCGTTCCCTTCGCTGTCGGACTCCGACGCCTTTCCCATCTCCCTGTTGATGTATGATGTTGATCTGTTGATGATGTTGTTGATCTGTCTTTTTTTTTTTTTTTTCCGTTAGGGGACGAGGATGGGGGGATGATGGGTTCCCCCACTGGGGATTGGGGGCGGAGACGGGGATTTTTTAGCCTTCGGGGATCGGGGACGGGAAGTGTAGTCCCTGGCCTCACCCCGCCCCGCCCCGCCCCGCCCCGTTGCCATCCCTATTCAAATTCATGATCTTTTTTTCTTTTCTTTTTTTGTTCCTTTTGTTTGATGAGAACTCGTGGACTGATGGCCAAATTGAATTTTCCATCCGATAAAAGGATAAATGAATTAAACTTATCCATTACCAATTACATGAAAACAAGGTGTAATTGGATGGCAAAACCTATGAAGGATAAGTTAAGTGATGGATAACAAGTTCATGACGTTTGAACTATAAGCATGATCCTGCTTTATAGCTTACAAAACCTCAGATTCTTTCAATACATCCCTTCCCTTTACATCAATACAGTTAATTTATTGCATGCCCATTACCGTAAAATTAACCACATAGAAGTAGATGGCACATGGTTTCCTCATTAGAATTAGACATTGGTTGGCTCTTTCTCTTTCAGTAATGTTGCTCATAATAATATCCCTTACAAAGGAATTTATGCAAGTTGAACATGATTGGAGCATGTGCACCAGACTGAAGTCATCATTAGGGGCATTTCTCTAGTTCCTCTTTTCCATGACTTGCGGAGTCCCAGAAAATTATTATCTGGACTTTCTTTTTCCTACTCACACAACCACCAACCATTTCCTCTCCCTATCAATTAATCTTCCTGCTCTATTTATACAACTGATTTTTAAACTAACTTCTGCAATATTTGACACATTTTACATGATACTCTGACATTACAACTATATCAACCTTCTAAAATCACGTAAGATGGCATTACAACCAACAGATCAACAAAGAATACCTTCCATAAAAAGGAATTTTAGCTTTAGTGGCATTCTGCTTCAACTGATCAAAAGCACCAGCTCGGAAAGTATCTGCACACACCAGAGCTGGTTTCCAACCCTTCTTCTGGTGGTAATATGCATATTTCGTACATGTTGTGGTTTTCCCAGACCCTGGAATTATTCACAAACAGATAATCCTGCATTAATTGACTGAATAGAAGAAATGACAAACCCAACAAGGGTAGATTAACCAAAATGTAAAGTAAACTGAGCGTATATAGCTAACAAATGAGAAAAAAATTCAAAAGGCCCTAATATATGTAACTCTCATATGGGAGGTAAAGATGATCAAGGTCATACACCAGCTTGCCAAAATAAAATGCAATACTTAGATACTAACTGTTAGACATAATACATAACAAAACAACAAATCCATCACCATCTGAGAAAAACAACATACCTTGCAAACCGACAAACATGACTACACTTGTTTTCCCTTTCTTTGGAGTGAAAGACGGCTTCCCAGGATCCAACATTTTGCAAAGCTCGTTAAAAATAGCCTAGAAGAAAAGAATCCCACTTACTATCACAACATAACAAGAGACAATGCAGGATCCAGATTGCGATCTAACAGCAACCCAAAACAAAAAAGGTAGTTTAAAAACAAATCTTAGGCTAAAAGAATGTTCCTAAATTAAATACCACCATCGCCTTCAAAGTAGAAACCCTCTTAAACCATGTCCGACACTTCTCGAACATGTCATAATTTGAAAATGAACTACCATAATTTTGGACACTTTTTAAATACTACCTACACAGAACACGTGAAAAATCTCTCAACAGGCAAAGTGAAGAATGAATCGGACACATTTCTTGAAGAAAAAGACATAATATAAGTAGGCAGTAGTATAATGCATCATTTGTGGACTGAAATCATAAACGTTTTGCAACTCTAAACTCCACTATTTAGATAATCAATTCAGGGATACATTTTTCTCAGACTATTTAACATATGAATATAGTAACACATGCTGCAGTGTTACCACATTCTTGTCCTAATTTTTTCTATTTGTTGAATCAACTGACACTCTTTTAGGATTTACTCAGCAGGTCAAGTCATGTCATACCAGTGTCCTATGTGCATGGCAATGGTACATAGATCACCTTACAAGACTTCCAAAAAAATAATGGGAGACAACGACAACAAATTAAAATAAAATATAAAATAATAAAACAAAACAAAGCAAATAAAAGATTTTAAAAACTGCAAACCCAAGCAACACTTTAGACATAGTTGTACGAAGAGTAAACAGTGGCTTAGTGAAATGTGCTTCTGCCATATGTAATTGACTAACCAAATGGGCTTTGATAGAGTCAAGTGTAGAAGAAAGATTCATGTAGCCGATCCCATTTGATAGGACTTAAGGTTTGGTTTGGTTTGGTTTGGTTTGGTTTGATTAATATTTTTAATCAGAATATTCTGCCAAAGATATTAGTTTCAAATCCTAATCACCAAAAAAGATAACCTTTTTTCTTTTTGCATTGCCAGCAAGCAATTGAATTTGTTTAATGCAGTCAACACTGACCAAGATTAAAACTAACAAGCTTCTGAAATAACAAAAAGTCTCAAATTCATAGAGTTCAGTAAAACAATGATCTCTTTACAAAAGCAAAAAACTTAAACAAAGTTCTATATGCTGCTTACAATGATAAGGCCACGGTCTACCTCCAAATAATTTTTTTTTTTTTTTTTTTCAAATAGCTCAGAAAAATCCATGTTATAAACCAGCTGCTAATCAAACTTAATCCTTGATGGCATACTTGGATGCCAACTCCCAACAGAACCTTTTTGACTTGTTGACTGAGTGATCATAACAGATGTGGAGTGTAATAAAACATGATAAAAGGAATAACAATGGAAAAACCAGCAATTTTCAATGAAAATTCAACAAAACAAAAACTGATGCACATGAAAAGAGTTATAATTACACCAAACAATTAAGATTTTGCGCTATATTTAAACAATTAAAATCACATAATATTGGTAAAACTCTTTAATATATATATGAGGAAATCATAAAAAGAAAAAAATAAAAAAAACTAACATATGGAACATGGGAACCCACTTCGCGAAGTTCACTAAGGCCATATCTGAAATCCAAGCCTTGGAATTGGAATCCTGGTTTGAAGTTTGAACTAACATAGTCACCAATTTTAGGTCATTTTATTGTTACTCAATTTTGAAAATCTTTATCCCCTACATAATGGCCTTTTTTAGTTGAATCATCAAAACTATTAGTATTCAGCTAATTTAGTAAACCCTAATCCCAAATCTGGGGTTGACTACACAAATCTTTCTACACACTTTCAATTAGTTCTTTGCAAACAAAAAACAGCATAATCCATGATGATTAACAATTCTACCAACAAGAAAAACTGGCCCAAAATTCCATTTTTTTAGCCAAACCAAGAACACATGCAAATTGGGTATCGAAATCAAACCCATACCTGTTGAATGATCTTACGCTTGTTATGGCCAGCAGCGAGGTCATCGAGATTGACGATCTTCTTAATATTGGTCTGCATATCGCGAACGAGCTTAAACTGGACATCGGACTGAAGAAGAGCTCGAGTGATCTCATTGAGGCACTCGTTGAGAACTTTCTCGTCAATTATTGTCGCATTGCTCATCTGCTGGAGAGCACGCGATATGCTTCCACCTAACTGTGCTAACACCATTTTGATCGATTGTTTGAGGAATAACGATCTGTTCTGCGAATTCGAACTGAAAACTATCGAAAACTGATTGATTGATTGATCGATCGATCGAACAAATTTCTGTGATTTTGGGAGGGTAAGGCTTAGGGTTAGGGTTTCGGTTTCGATTGGGAGCGGGACGTGAGGATGGCAAAATTACCTGTTTTGTTCCCGACTCTCCTGTGTCTGTGTTTGGGTGGGAATTTGGAAAGGAAAAATGATTGTGTTTAGTAGAGTTTTGTAAATATGATTTGATAATATGAATTGTATTTTGAGTTTGTGAGCTGTGAAATTATGATTTGAGTATAAAAAGGTTGTTTGGTTATGATTTTTGAATAAAGTGTTAAATTGAGTTTTGAATTGTATATGGAATTGAGTTTTGAAAATTTGATGTGACATGTGAAATAAGAAAATTTGTTTGTGTTGGAAATGAGTTTTCAAAATAGTTTTAAAAATTTAATTTAACCTGTAATTGATAATCAAACACACAATTCATAACTTGATATCTGTATTTTTGATCAATAGTCATAACCAAACTATTTTTAAAATACTCAAATAAACAAAAAAAAAATCAATTAATTGTTTTTAAGTAATTTTTTTGAATAATTTTTTTTTTTAAATAACTTCTATGTCAATTATTTTATATTAATTCATTTTTTAGCTCCGTATAAACATTAAAAATATTGAAAATATTCCGAAAATTAAAATATTAAGAATATTAAAAATATTCCGAAAATCAAAATATTAAAAATAATTTTTTTTCAAAATAAATATTCAAAAAATTTAAATCATAAATATTTAAATAATTTAAATAATCTAAAAAAATTAATAAGTAAAAAATTAAAATAAATGTTCAAAAAATTTAAATCGTAAAAATTTAAATAATTTTAAATGTAAATATTTTAAATTTCAAAACAATTCTACACTCAAATCGTAATCAAACACATAAAACAAAATTCAATTAAGAAATTATTTTTAAAACTCATAACCAAACACATAACTCGAAACTCCATACTACTTTCACAACTCTACACTCAAATCGTAACTAATTTAAAAATATTTTTATAAAATAGAGTTTGAATTTATTTTTATAAAATATTTAAAAATTTTAAAAATTAAAATCATAATATTTTAAAATTAAAATATTTAAAAATATTCAAAAAATTAAAAAATCGTAACATATTTAAATATTAAAATATTTAAATCTTAACAAAATTAAAATATTTTTAAAATATTTAAAATATAAAATATTGATTTGAATTGAGTTTTGAAAAGAGTTTTGAATTTTGTGTTTGGTTATGAGTTTTGAAAAGTAATGATTATGTTTTGAATTGAGTTTTGTGAAATGGGTGTAGAATTATGATTTGAAAGCTCAAAACAAACACCATACTCAAATCAATGAGTGAAACTATAATTTGAGAGGCTTACCAAAAGAAACCGTGATATTTTAGTAGTTGTTTGGAATGTGTACACGTGTATTTTTATTTTTATTTTTTACTTTTTAGTTAAAAAAATTAGAGAAAAAATAAGTATGTTTAGAATAATTTTTTTGATTTTTTATAAAAATATGTGTAATAAAATATTGTAATGAAATTAAAATGACAATTTTACACTTTTGACTATTTGACTTTTTGGGTAGTTGAATTCAAAATGTAAAATAATAATTTTGCCCTAATAGCTTTTCCCGCAAAAAATAGTATAGATTTTTTAACTTTTTTAATAATTTTTTTACTTTTTAACTTTTTTTAATTTATCCCAAATAAGACTTTAGTTTTGCATTTTTTTTTTTAAATTCCTTTGAAAGCTGAAAGTAAAAGGGAAAATATATGAAAAATTATTATTATTTTTTTTTATTTCTCTTTCTAAATTCTCAACCAAACACAACATAATGGAATAGGTTTATAATGTTGGAAAATGGTTTAGAAATTCTGGGTTATAACAGAATTTTTTCTTAAGTTTGGTCCATTTTTTAGCTGGGCCCCGTGCGTCGTTTGTCGCGGATCAAAGTGGTAACACGTTTTATGACGCGTTGTGATTCACGTGGTATATTTGGTTGCTCAAAACCATTACCGGGTGAATGAGAAATTGAAGCCAAAGTATGCTCCATAGAAATGGAGTTTTGATGGAAAATCCTTAAAGGTTTGAATAAGGCTTGTCCGACATTGATTTGGTGGGAAGTTTTGAATGGGTTTATAAGGCATGGGATTGGAACTTGAGGTGTGCCCCAAGGGGTCCCCGAGTGTTTTAGAGAGGGAGGTTATGGGCAAAATTGGCTAGACCCATTAGACCCAAAAATCCCCACATGCGTGCTGTGCATGGTGTGAGGTTGGGCTTGTCTGGCCTAATACCTATCTTTTTGGGCCAAAAACATTTGAATTTAATTTTATTTTTTGGTAAAATAAAATCCTGAATTCAAATTAATTTCGGAAATAAACTGGTCCGATTTTATTATACACTCAAGCAAGGCCCTTCCCGTTTTTTATCTGTTTGAATTATGAACCCAACAGATTCAAATCTGCTTAAATTCAAAACCAAACAGGTTTGGACCTATTTAATTCAAAACTTACAGCCACCAATCCATCTATAAATATGACAGCCCTCATTTGGATTTTGTAACTCTAATTTTCGTCCTTCATAATTCTGCAAACATTCTCTTCATATTGCTGCATTATTTTATTCTGTGAAAAAGTATAAACACTTAGTTTGTTTGTTAGGCAAACAATTTGTGGTGCTGTTATTGTTTGTAGTTGATCATTTCATCTTGGGAGATAGACGTCCATATTCTGAAAGCACCGTGGAGATAACGAATCTGTCTTAAGAACACAGTGTCAAACACTGGACTTGATCAAAATAATATTCAAGATATTAATCAAGTAAGTTATTTATTTATTTTATGTTTTATTATTATTTATTTAAATCAGATTTTAATTTTGTTTTGGAAACAAAATAAAATTTGTTTTTATTTATTTAATTCTATTTCTAGTTTGATTTTTATAATCAAACATTTTTCTCTCATTTTCTTTATTTCTTTTGGTTTCTGTTTGTTGTTTAGTACACAAACCAAATTAATCTTTTTAAAAAACAGTGAAGATTGTTCGACACATAATGATTGAATAGATAATTATGAGATTCAAAATCCTTTCATATGGATTGTTGAAATGGATCTAACGAAAATATGAGTTTTGTTCTGTAAATCTGTAAAGATAAACATAATTGGAGCTACCCAACTGGCGTTACCGGCCGGGATACTCCGATGATAAAGTTAGCAACTTGAATAAAAAAAAAAATTTGAAGAAATGAAGAGTGTGTGTGCTGTGTTATAGAAAGATAAGGCATACCTCTATTTTATGGAATGTCTCTCTCTTATAGATGAGAGGTGTTATATTTGTTTGATAGGTTTTCTTATTTGAGCTGGACCCATTGTTTGGACTTGTTTGAGTCACCCTCAATAAGTTGGTATTTTTTGAGCCACCACAATAATCCTTGCACTGTTCGATTGGATTTAGGTTGAAGATGGAAGAAAGTATTTTTTAATCTAAACTCTACTCTAATCTGTAAATATATGGTTGTGTTACATGCACCAATTAATTTATTAACTAGTGTACCAATACTAATTATGACATTATTATTGACCCCACTCATTATACAAATTGCAAATACAAAAAATCTCTTAAATTATGTCACATCATCAATTGGTATATTAGTTAATACACTAATTGATGCATATAACATTATTCGTAAATATATAGTATTGAACATGATAATATTATATACATAATTAATGTATAATGCGGTGTTTGGCAAGTTGGATTTTAGTTTTTTTTTTGGCAAATTACATATAACCCCCTCGAGATTTAGCAAAATTATAGATATCCCCTGAGGTTTGAGAAATTACAGATATCCCTTTGAAGGTACTATTTGCATAACAAATTAGGGGGCAATTTGTTATGAAAATATAAACCTCAAGGGGGTATCTGTAATTTCTGAAACCTTAGGGGTATCTGTAATTTAGCTAAACCTCGAGGGAGGTATATGTAATTTGGCTTTTTTTTTTTTAGGTTAAAATTTACAAAAAGATAAAATATGTTAAAATAGTTAATAAGACAAAATGTCACATCAAACTCATAATCATTTCATTTTTTTCTCTCACAAACATCACATCTAATTAAAAAAAAATCTAATCATCTTCCTAGATACAAAAATTTTAACATATTAAAATAGTCAAAAACTAAAATAGCCTACTAAAATAGTAACTTTCCAAACACCTATAATATATTATTAAATTTTTATATGATATATAATATCTGTACAATGTATTTTTGAGTTTTAATTTGGGCCTACATATTTTGTTTGAACTGCAAACCAAAATTAGGGGAGGGGGGGGGTGGGTCCGGGTCGGTCCGCAATAAGAGATATGTATTTGTTTTCGGCCCGGCCCTACTATCCAACTTTTTTATATATTCAAGTCTGATTGAAAAAATGATTATAAATATCAAGTTCACTCGTCGAAGTATATATTAAAAAAAATTAAAATATTTTATAATTAAATTTAATTACACATTATATTTCTTAAATAAATTCAATCACACATCACCACAAATGTAAGTTTTAATGAAATCAATCAGAACAAAAAATATATTTTATAATATATTATAATTAATTAATTAATTTAATAATGAGTTGGGCTGGAATGAGTTAAAAGTATAAATTTTAAATCCAATCTAATAATATATTGGGCTAAAAATATTAACCCGATCCGACCCAATAAACTAAAACAACTTTTTCAATGGTATGCACCCCGGGGCATTGGTTACATTTTGAAGTAAATTAATGATTGAACAATTTCATTAAATTTGGATCAAATCAAATTATAAAATTTAGGAAATTACAAAAAAAAAAACCCCCTCTAAGATTTGTCAATTTAAATATTAAAATTTTGTTTTTTTTTAAATTTAAACTATTTGTTTATTTTTATTAAATAAAATTAACTAAAAATAATATTTTAGTCATTGAACTCAATAAAAAAAATATTTTAAACATTTTATGTATACTTGCATTAAGTTTAATGACTAAATTATTATATCTCATCAATTTTACTTAACAAAAACAGAAAAATAGTTTAGATGAAAAATAAATTAAAAAATTAAGATTTAAATTAATAAAATAAAAAATTCATATTTTATTTTGTACAGTGTTTCCTAGTATTTTTTTTTTTTTTGTTGGGTGATAATTTCTCCTAAAAATTTAGTGAATAAACCGGACCTAACGACTAAAACACAATTTGGTTCAATTTAAATCACCATTTTTAAAAATATTATTATCATTTACAACATGATCACAAAATATTATTCACAATTTAAAAATTATTTAGTTTATTATTAAAAACTAATTCTACATCCATATAAGAATACATTTGTAAAAATAGAGAATTACAACTTACGTATATATATATATATATATTTGATACTAATAATATATTTGAATATGTATATATCTAAATAGTTTGGTTCAATTCCAAAAATCTATAAAACCACATATCAATCCACGAAGTACGATATTTTAAAAATTAAAACCAAACCATGCATTGAAAAAATAAAACTAAAATGTGCAATTTAATTTGGATCGGACTGATTTTTATTTTTTTTGATTTTTTTGCTCAATCCTATCAAAAATCACTACTGAAGTTGTGTTGAATTTTTTTTTTTTTTTTGAGGATTTTGAAGAAAAAATAATACTAAATAAATAAGTTAATAAACAAACATGGGATAGAACCCACAATACAAAGGATTGATAACCCAAAACTGATCCAATTCGCCAAAACAAACATTGCCTTCATGCATTGTATTTTCGACTTTCACCCTTTGCCAAGCAAATGAACTAGAAACACCATGCACAAGATTGGATGACCATGAAGTGCAAAACTTCAATGTATATTTGATATAAAAAAAAATTATTACATTTATCTCTTGTCATTCTAACCTGCTCAGGCATACATATCAATACACTTGAAGATGTGCATCTATTCTACTAAGCCCATGCCAGAAGTTACAAAGGTGAAAAAAAAATTAAAAGAATATCCAATAGGGGGTAATTCAATTGCTTCAACACAATCCAAAAAGGATTAATCAACAAGAGTGACCAAGTGCATGATCTTTTTTGTGGCCATTTTGAGGGAAACAAAATCTACGGAGCGGTAATGAATTTTGTTCGAGTCCTTGTATTGAACTACAGATTATCTTTCAACCATTTTAGAGCTCCATTTGCAACAGACCTGCAACATATCCGTAGGGATTTTGATCATTACAGACCAATTTAGATAAGGTCAATAAATGCAACAAATGGGAGTCAAAGGATACAAAGCTGATAATGAAGATAAAAATACAAGGAAAAAGAAAGGCCTATACTAGGTTATTTTCCAAGTATTGATTGATCAAAGCAAGTTGTTTTTCATTTTTATTTTAATTAAAGCTCGTATTATCATAAATTCATTATGAAGAACCCATCAATCATATATCCAAGTTGTTTTTGAGTAACTTGTTAAGAGTTCATTCTCATTTACTACTGAGGGCCCAAATAGTAAAATCCTACCACATGAGAAATAATTGAACAGTAGAATATCAAGATGATCAAAAGACAATGAACATCTATGGTTATTACCATGTTTCCGAAAGAAATTAATATGAAAGATGCCATATAAAGTAGATCAAATGGTCCAAAAAACACTGATGAGCATAGCTTTGCCACTGAAAAATGTGGCAAGATCTAACAAGTAATTTTTTTGAACCTGATTTGACTGGTTTCAAATAGGTGGTTCGTCAAAATCAGGTAGCTTTTTTCCAACCCGAGGCGATCAGTTCGGGTGACGAATATACATAAACTCGATCTAATCTGACCCGTGAACACCTATAAAACCCTCTAATCAACAAAAGAATACCCCTTGTACTAAATACTCTTGCATTGTCACATAAAAAGAGAAGTAAAAGTATGTCAGAACTTGTGGGACCTGACAATATCAAGAATCACATGAATCAAATTGTGAATTCACTATCGATTCTATCTCAAAATAATTTCACCACATATTAGCATCAATCTATGTAGAAATCATGAATCAAATCGTGAAAATAGTAAATCGTAAGATTCTGACAACTATGATCTGATCCATATTCATTATTTATAGGTAGTAATACTTTGCAAGTGAAAGTACAGAGAAGGAATATTACCCAGCAAAATCTTTTAACTTCTTCCATGGGTCATCTTGACCTTCTGATTCATCAGTTTTCTCAGTAACAGAACCATTTTCACTTTGTGTATTTCCAGCTGCAAAACACAAAAACATCGTGTTCAAGTTTCAGAATCTGAATAAGAACATAAGAATATAAAACTAGATTTGTGGGCAGAATGCAGCTAATGATGCCAAGTTTCATTTGCTAATTTGTGCTGGAACTTGATTTAAATGTGCGTACATATATTATTGGATACCGCGGGCAGCTTCTCATCCTCATTGCTAAAGCAAGATGATATGTTACCCTTGCTCCTGGTGATTCAACTTAGCATAGGTAGATAGTGTCTGATTGTGTTTGGTACAAAAGACTTTGAACTTAGCATGGGATAGCTTGTGATTGTGTTTTGTATAAAAGACTCTTGAAATTTATCCTATGGTTTTTTTAGAGATCATTTTGGTGCTTTGAGTTTGTTGACAACTAGAGTCTAGCTTCTTGTTGCCGGGGTTCCTCTTCAGCGTGTTTGTAGGGCAACTTTCATGGAAGATATAGAAGACAAGGGTTGGTGCTTCAATATTCAATTCAACTGAAAATCATACATAAATGATAAAGCAACTACTTACTACCTTGCTGAACTCTAGGGCGAGTTTGAGAACGGCTGCCAGGACTGTTACTTAGGAAAGCGAGTTCTTCAAGCAGTTCACGCTCCTTGGCACTGTAAATGATTGCATGAACATAGAATTAAACTTAAAATGAATCTTTTTCACTTTTCTAGAATGTTTTGGATTTGAGCAAAGTGGAGAATCAAGAGTGACCAGCAGTAAATTTTTGAAGGCTGTCAATTCAGCACTATGATCAAATGGGAGATAATAGTACAAAATTTATATATATATATATATAGAGAGAGAGAGAGATTTAGTGAAGAATCCTGTGAGTATATGCATATCCATGCAATGCCACAAACCAGAATCAATGTAAGAAATACAACTACAAATCTGCCAATACCAACACCATAGTTCTGTGCTTAAGCACCAAAATTTTGGCAAAATATGAGCCGAAGCAACCAAGGGTTGATTATGAGAAGATTGAGTTGAACAATATAGGTGGGAAGGCATGAATCTTATAACTGATGTTATACAAATATGTATACAAAGAGATAAATATAACTCTGGAATGAAGCAGAAAAGGCACTTAGCAACTGAAGCATATGAGCTTTACATTATCTATAATTACATGAATACATTTTAAAACGTATGCCAAGACTGACTACTTTGCTCAACATTATGGAGCCTTCCTCCCCGACTGGAAATATATCCGTAGTTAAAACAGAAAAAAAAAATCCCGGATCTTGTCAGATCCCAAGGTGATTTTAGTGAAGTTTTATTTCTATAAAATGGAGAGCATGCACATTGGAGGAGGTGAGTCAATCTTTTTAAGTCTTCAAGCTTCTCATATTGGAAATAGAATAAAATAAAACAAAAATGGAACCAGCACATAAGTCATCACTAGTTAGGTTTAACCCAATAAATAATACAAACCGTATACAATTAGCCAATTCCACACTACCTCAGCTCAGGCTAGTGGAGTATGGCAAGCTAGGATTTAGGTTTAATATTAACTTGGAAACCTGTAAATTGAATTCAGCCTGGCTGTCTGTCACCATACTTGCACGTCAAGATGCTTTCCACAGCAATGATGGAAAGTCCTAGCAGAATACGTCTTCTATTCTATTATCTCTTCCAGAACTATTTTGGTTGTGCTGGGACTTTGAAGAATCAGTAGATAGTACATTAACTTGCCAAGAAAACTGGTTAAAGATTCAGGAAGTTGGTAAATGGGTAGCAATTGGTTGTCCAAGATCAATATGTTCAGGTAGCATAGCTTATGATGGGTTAGGTTTCTTGATACTTGCATCAAGTTGCGATACAGCTTAAAATCTTTATCACTAACATCTTTAGCCATTATTAAAATAAAAAAATAAAATGATCTTTAGCCTGCGTTTACATGCCCCACATAATTGAACCAATGCATTAGTTTCCAGAAAGCATTTGAACACACAAGTACAAAAGCTGACCATTATCAATCCAATAAAATGTAAATTAGGTCAGTTGCTGAAATTCTGAAGCACCCTTTATTTTAAGCAAGCATTATAAGGACTGCCAGAAGCACAAGAACCACATCCAAATGCAATGTAACAATGCCTTATTTCAAACTTTCAATTGTCTTTAGATGAGCTAATAATACCCATACACAATCTATCATATTTGTTACAAACTAATTTCCGAGTCTCTTTTCCATAAATGTATATAAAACATCTAACCATGTATAATTTTTAGAAGCACAATTTTACAGAACAAATTAAGCTTAATTGCATTAGAATAGTCAAGGAAACAAGAAAGAATTGAACTATTAGGATAATTTGATTGATTAAAACTAGAACAGCAGCTTACCTAATACGATTGGGTATGGCAACTTTAATTGTGAATAAGTGATCACCACGTATTGATGGTCTGTTTAACTTTGGTGCTCCTTTCTTTGCCAGTACAAGCACATCTCCAGGTTGGGTACCCGAAGGAATCTGTTGATCAGTAGTTCCTTCAACTGTCTTAAGCTGTTTAAATGTCAAGCAATCAACAAATTGTTATTCAGTTGGAGAATCCAAGGAACTTTGCAAGAAATCTGCATTCAATGCCCCATCCTCTGAGCTTGCAGCAGTGACAAAGGAAGTACTGCACAGAAACCACTGAGTTTAGAGATGGAGAACAGGCGAAAAGAGTGAGTGAGAAAAGCCTCTTTGGAAGCTTGGTAGGGAGTGAAGCCACCTTGAAGAGTCTGTCTCGCCTTCTTGGGTCCAAGGGGACTCTAAACTATGTGTTAGGCTTTGGCATTGAATACAAGCCTGTGGCTAAGATTCTCTTCCTTTTCTTTTAGGTCCAACTGGTGCACAAGCTTGTGGCTAAAATTCTCTTTCTTCAAATAATCTGCTCTATGGGTTGTAGATATATTTAAGATTGTCAACTACTGTAGTGTTAACTCTAAAAATGGCCTCTATACTCTAGAACTCAAATTAGATAAATATGGCTTGGGGTGAAGACCAAAGAGTCAAACATTTAGAAGCATTTAAATTTTATTTTTTACCATACTAACAATGGTAAGATAGTCATTTTACCTTAACAACAGTGCCCAATATGGCATCTAGATAACTAATTGAAACAGATGAACGTAGATTTATGCCATCTCTTTGGATCTCTGGAATCTCCTCAATATCAAGGTAGACATAAAGATCACCAGGAGGGCCCCTGCTGAAAAGACAAGAACAATTAGTGTTCCAAAGAATCTGAATCACGTCCATGAGTTTGATACCTTCTAAAGTGCTGTTATAACAGAACTCTTAAATGGAAAGTATGAGTTTTGTGTCAACCGAAAAAGGAAAATGGAAAGTATAATCTCAACATAGAGGAAAAAATGAAATTTTGAATAACCTTCATATGAGGACACAGATATCCATATAAGAGAAGAAATAAGGACCCCCGCCTATTGATCTTTTTTTTAATGACAATTATAACCTCAATTAAAATTACTATAAAGGGCAGAAATTAAAATGGAACACCCACCCTTAAAAAAACAACACTCATAATTGAACACCCAACCCTAACAAATCAAATTGAACACTGACCTTCAAATCAAATTGAAAACCTGCCGATAAAAAAATAAAATTAAAAATCCAAAGCACATGATCTATCATTCTAATTTTCCATGTTGTCTAATCATCAAAGTTCCACAAAGACATTTCTTTGCTTGCACATTTGGAAAATGACAGTTTTCTTTTCTTGATTCTTGCAAACTAGTCGAATATTTTTTTTTTTTTTTTTTGGTTCTTAATTTTAACTAGAAATCTACCATAAACCGGAAGCTTTGGACAACATCAATTTCTTCTCAATCATAACAATCATTTCTTTTGTACTGCTGGCCCCTACTGCTATTCTCATGGAAGGCGTGAAGTTTAGTCCATCATACCAACTATTCTCGTTTGATTATTTGCTTGATCTGTGAACTAGGGGGTGCGAATTTGTTAGTTTATGTTTTAGTGAGTATCCAAATTGTTATGGGGTGTGCAGCTAGGCGGGTGTGTAATGTTTTAGAGGAATAATTTTGGTATTATGTGGGGGGTCCTTAAAATTTTTATCAATGTACAAATTTTATAAGTGGGGGTTCAAAGAAATAAGAGATCCTTAGAAAAAAGGTAAGAGCTATTAGCGCCACCCGTTATTGAAACTGAACTTTAAGCATAGGGCTTCCTTTACTAAGTGCCCCCATCCCATGAATAGTTGCACCCATTAAGAAGATGCACCCAAGGTCTCTTATTAGAATCTTACAATTTGCGATTCAATTCACGATTCGATTCGCATTTTTTGCAGAATCAATACGCATCTGTGGGTGAATCTATTTTGAAAGTGAATCGTACGATTCACAATCGATTCACGATTCGATTCATTTTTTACGATTCATGCAATTCTTGAAAGTATCCTATCCAACATATTTTGATTCTTTTTTCTCTCATTTTTTAGTTAAAATGACATAATACAACTTCTAATAGTGTTTGGTATGAAAATAACAAATATATATACCTGATTTGTTGTTATTTTGGCTATCAGGGAGTTTTTAATAGAATCTAATCAGATTCAGTCAAAACCCAACATGCTTTTAAACATGTTTAAGGTTAAAGTAACTTGCAATATGAATTATCTATTGCTATGTTACTGAAATAAATATACTTCAATATTACATGGGTGAGGTCAGGTAAACCCACTAGTTCTACAAGTTCTTTTAAAGAAGAAGGGGAAAAAAAAATTGAACAATAAGCATATATATATACCTTTTAAAATGCTTCAGGTTTCAAAATAAAAGAATCAGAATTAATTCTTTTTTATTATTAGGTCATTGTTACTTGTAAAAGTACGTATATTTATGAAATATCATAAACGTTGTTAAGTTATTGTTACTTGAAAATTGAAAATTTGTCTTTGTTTACTTTTTTATTAAGAATGGTTGATAAGCAATATATGAAAAGGAAGAAGGTAAGGTGGCAATCTTACCTAGGGACTTGTGTTAACTTTTTATCTATTAGACCATGTGATCATCATTCAAAACAACATTTCATCAATTTAAGTCTAAATATTTTATATTTATCAGACATATTTAACATCAAAGTGTGTAAATATATTATTCTAAGTAATTTAGAAAAAATGACCGAATCCTTACAATTCACGATTTGATTTGATTTGATTCACGATTCGGTACAAGGCCATTTCGAATTACGATTCGATTCACAATTTAACAACTATCAAGGGTCTAAAGTTAAATTTCCACACCGAAAACTTTGACGTAGTCCCTAGGCATTGCTAGTTTTGTATATTGGTAGCACACAACCAGTATAGTAAAGCTCAAATTTGGTATTGCTTTGTTGGAAACCTATGAAGCACGGGTACGGGTACCGGTACGGGCACTGGTACTGATACTGATACTGATACGATACGGGTATGTCAATACAGTAAAATCCAAAAAAAATAGTGTATGGGTACGGCTTGGTACGCTTGTAAAAAAATATTTATTTTTAATTTTGAGTAATGCAAAAATTAATTAAATGATTTAATTTGTTAAGATCCAACCTATAATTAACATTTAATACCAAAAGTAAATGTATAAATCAAAATTAAATGCCAATATATTAAATAACTTATAAACCATAGTTTAATTTTAAAATCCTGCTAAGCATAAAACTAAAAATAAAAAAGAAGTTTAGTGAAATGAGTTTTATCTCTGTAGTAGAAAAAAATATTGTTTCAATTGAGTTACGGTACGGTACGGTACGATACGACACGGTACGGCTTGGGTATAAACTAGGTACGTCTAGGTACGTCAAAAATTAAAAAGAACTAATTTAAGTACGTGTTTCATGTACCCGGTACGTATGTAGAAGTACCATACGAGGTACCATACGCCGGTAAGTATCCGGTACGGGTACGGCATATTTTTTAAAGTACCCATGCTTCACAGTTGAAAACCCAAACAACCGGATGTAAATGGTGTTCGAGAAATCATCAAATCAATATAATTCTTCCAAGGACTAAAATTTTGGCAAGGCTTCAAACTGGAGTTGGGAGCATTCTCAATTGGTTCAACGGAAGCCTTCAACAGAAGAAGTCAAGGCCTAACTTTATTTTCATATACATATATATATATATATTTGTTAATATTCATTTAATTAATATTTATTTTTTGGGTTACCGATGTTAAGGCTTGTTGATGGAAAGGTGATCATCAAAATATTGTGAACACAAAGTTGTGAAGTCTGTTGAAAATAAGAAAGCATACTGGAAAATCTCTGGTCTTGCTAAGGAAGCAGTAGATTACATATTTAGTAATACGAACTTAATTTCAATAACTTTGCCCATATAATAGGGGCAGCAACCCAAAATTTTTATCAGAAATATACCACAGAACCAATGACTGAAGCTTAAAGATGCATATTGTAAAATTCATCTACATACCCCTTTGGTCCAGCATCTCCCTCTCCCGCAACTCTCAGAATACTGCCCTTGCTGACTCCAGGTGGAATTTTAACTTTGATATCTTTCTTCACACGAATACGACCCTCGCCGGAGCATTTCCGACAGTATTCAGAAATGACTTCACCATTCCCACCACAATTTGGACATACAGAAACCTGAAGTTAATAAAAGGTTAAGAAGTATTAAGGAATAATCAGTGAAAATATCTACTGGAAGAACAAGACATAGTAAAACCATAGCAATGCTGAAAACAAGGTGATACAAAAGGAGTTAAAGATTTTATCATGTAAAACTCAAGACCTATTCTACTATGTCTGTAACACCCTAAAAATAAACCCATAATAGCCATAACATCAACTTCAACTCATGTCACTGTAGCCTTCCCTTGTCCTTATCGTGCCATCAAATTGAATTACTCTTCACAGAAGCAATGATCACTCATCATGGCATATGATTAAACCATCTCCAAGCCTCACAAATGCATTTATTTCTATTCTCAACAAATCTGTCTTATCATTCGCCTTAATGTCATTCAGCTACAGTCATTTTTCTAAACAATGGATTTTGCCTGTTAAGGTAAAAACAAAATGACAAGTGCATTTTATTAATTTATATATTTACTATGTTAATTTTTTATGGGAATCCGAAGAACTACAGTTTGAAATTTTTGCTTGCTTGCATAGCCATTAAATGCAGCTGATAGGATGTCCTCGTTTGAAACAAGAGGTGTTGGGTTGTATCCAACACCAATTAACCATAATGTGTCATCTCCCGATAAGATTATTATCAATGGTAAGGATATTCTTGTGAGCTGGACTTCACCTCAAACACACCTTTATAGATGAAGGCACCTACCAAAGATCATCTTGGCTCCCACTAAAGCCTGTCACCCATGAAGAAGCTAACAAGGCCCAAAGTTCATCCATTACCCCAATCCTGCACGCGTCTCCTCAAAACGCGATATCCCAAACAGTATGATTGTCTTCCCTATTCATATAATCATGTCACAGTAGCCTCCTTATTTCTAGCCAACCGGAAGATAGCTAGGAATGAACTTTCAAAGGTATTCTGCCCCCACACCACCTATGCCTTCAAAATTTTACCTAGTCACTAATGCCAACTCTTAATTTGATAATGACACAAAATCCTCCCAATTTTTCTGATCCCTTTTCACAACCCTTTCCCTTGAGGCATGTTCACCTCTACTGAAGTATGTGGGTAGTAGACATGCAGAAGTTTCTCTAACCTCCGAGGAAAAAAGATTGGGATAATGAAATAACGACATGTAACAAGTAGGCAGGCACGACAATGCCTCCTTTCAATTCTTCCAGCCTAACCCTGACAGCTCCTTCGGAACCATTCAACAACCCCATCCCAAACAGAAGTGGATTTGAAGGAAGAGACAAGGGTTAACCCCAAACAAGTGGTTGGAAAAGACCCCAAACCACAAACAAGAATGGAGGCTAAAATATCTATGTTCGGGACCTCACAAATTGAAGCAAGCTTTTACTTCATCAAATTCACCTTTAGCCCCAACACTGCCTCAAAACAGAGAAAAACACACCACAGATAACCAGACTGCTTCAGATTACCCCACAAAAAATAGTAGTGTTGTAGACACAAATTTTAAAACATGAAGTGTTTCAACACATTTCAAAATTTTATGTTACAAATGTCCACTGTTTAGTTTTTTGGACAAAACAGTGTTGATTATTTGAATAGCAGGTTCTTTTATACAATGAAACCTCCGATTAATGAAGAACAAAATAAACAACAAAAGACAATTTAAGAAAAACAAATATTTTATTGAAATTGTTATGGGTTTTGAACCCTCGAATACAAAATACAATTCTTGGGTTTAGAACCCTTACCTATTCATCGCCATTAGCGTAGGCTCTTGAGTTCTCTAGGCTTCTCTTCTTTCTTGTGACGACTTCTTTAGCTCTCAATTTCTTTTTTTCTCTCTCCCTCTGATCTTTTTAATTCTGATTTTCTGATCCCTCGTCTTGTGTGATGATCCTCATATTTATAGAGGGCCATCAGGTGATAGGAATGCCTCATCTTCAATTTAAATTTCAAATTGAATGATAGCGCCATTTGAATTTTGAATAATAGTGCTATCTGATTAACCAGATTGATCTTTGGGGTTTCATCTTGCGTGGTGTCCTTACTGTAGGCTCTACAGGTGTCATCTTTCGTAGGCTCCACGTGTCACTTGAGTATCTTGAATAACGTTGTTGAGATACAACGTCGTTTTATTTATGTACTTCAACGGATCATATTGATCTTTTTTAGGAAGTGATTACCTACAACCTTCCTATCATAGACTCTATACGTGTCATAAATTTAGTTGAAATTTATGTGCCAACAAATGCCCCTCGTGACTTGCACAAGTGAATTTTCTTAACTGTGCGAGTCACGACAATTTGGCACTTTTATCTGGATGATCTTTAGATCTTGAATGGGATTATTTCTTTGCTTTGGTCCTTGGCCTTCCTTTTTTTTTCTTTTGGGTTGACCGCTCCTTATAGTCCATGGGCTCTTTTTTTCATGAGCCCTTTTACTTTTGTTGCATGGGCCCTTTTTGTGGACTTAATTTTATTTTATTTTATTTATTTTATTTTTTTTGAAGGGTCATGAGTAAGGTCCAAGATTTAATTGGACATTTCCTTTTGTGGGCCTCCAACTTGCTACCATTTTTTTACAGTAGATTTTTTTTTCTAGGCCATCGTGGATTTTTCTAGACCATCATAGACCTTTCCTTTTCTAGGCCACCATTTTTTTAATTAGGCATTTTCTTTTGTGGGCCTCCAACTTGCCACCATTTTTTTTACAGTAGATTTTTTCTAAGCCATCATGGATTTTTCTAGACCATCATAGACCTTTCCTTTTCTAGGCCACCATTTTTTTTAATTGGGCCTTTCCTTTTGTGGGCCTCCAACTTGCCACCATTTTTACAGCAGATTTTTTTTTTCTAGGCCACCATTTTTTAATTGGACCTTTTCTTTTGTGGGCCTCCAACTTGCCATTTATTATTTTAAGGATTTTTTTTACAACAGATATGTATATATATTTTAGGGGTTTGTCTAAATGGAATAGGATGGATTGGCATTGGTAGGATTTCTAATCCTACACAAACTCTTACTTAGTATTTCAAATCCTACCTAAACTCTTGCTTCTTTGAAGTATTTTAGGAGACCACTACCTCCTTTCTTAAGCAAGAATTTTTTTTGCTTATATGACACCTATCCATGCAAACAGCCCATATATTTTCCCTGTAGCTTTCTTCCTCCGAGTAGATTGTTTCCAGCAACCTCTCTTTTTTTCTCTGCAAATTTTGTGGTGCATATTAGGTCTTCATTATTTTAGTATCTTTCCAGCAGCAATTGCTCTTTGAGGATACAAAAGATTACCCTCTACTCCCCTCATATCAGGTTTGCTTTGCTTCTTTCAGCAGAATGAACATTTTTTTTTTTCCTGTACAGCAAAAACCTATTTGTTGCTGTGTTATTTAGCAGCATATATATATATATATATTTATGTGTGTGTGTGTATATGCGTGTAGACTATATTTTTCTTGCTGCCAGCTTTTTAAAAAACATGAGAGCAAACAAAGACTTCAAAAACTGCCACAAAAATATATGGCCTTAAAAAAAACAACCTATTTTGCTAGCCCATAAATTCACTTAGTTCTTGAAATCAGGACAACCATGTGTAGAAATTTAATGTATAAAGAGAAATAAAGAATTGTATTATTGATTCATGTATTGATATATATTACAATGATTCATGATTCCTATATATAGAAGAGGGTGAGTGAGTAGTGGTGTAGTGGGTTAGTTTTAGTGGAGTAGGTTTAAGTGGGTTAGGTAAGGAGTAGGTGAAGTGGAGGTGGTAGTGGTGTAGTGGGTTAGGTTTAGTGGAGTAGGTGAGGTGGTAGTGGTGTAGTGGGTTAGGTTTAGTGGAGTAGGTTTAAGTGGGTGAAGTAGGTGGAGAGTAGGTGGATTTTAACACCATGTAAGCAAAAAAAATTTCTTTCTTTAAGACCAAACAACTTCTTTTCCCTGTGCTTTAACTTTCACAAGATCTTCTTCTTCCTTTTTTTATTTTATAGCATCAATCTGTTTGTTGCTATGCTATTTGGCAAACTCTGTTATATATATGTTTTTAAATGGCCTAAAGAACCTGAGACCAACATGACCATACTGGTTTTGGTGGAGCTGAAACCTGTAGGTTTATGAATATATTTATTTATTTTTTATATATATAACTGTCGGCTTAAATAGAACTGCCCTTTCTTTGTCTTGCGCACTTGGGTTGTTTGGCAAACATGAAAATATGTTTTCCAGGTAGATTTCCAGTCATGGGTCCAGCAAAGATTTTGTGCTGCTATAAGCTTCTTTGATAGTTTTGGCTGGTAGTTAGTGCTAACATAGCTGACCATGATATCCTTGTGGGGGAGGAGGAGGAGGAGGAGGAAGAGCTGTCACTTCTGCCTTCCAAATCCTTCTGGCAAAAAAAAATAAAAAATAAAATCAACTGGATATATCCAGTCCTGTGAGAGAAGAGAACAAGTAAATCCCATAGTTGTTGATTGGGTAGAGGAAAATTATCCCAATCACGAGGCGGATATATATATATCCATTTTAGCTGCATATACATATATATTTTACAGCAGCAACCTCTTTTATTTATTTTTTTATTTTTTTCACATGTGCCTTTTTTTATGGGTTCCTTATAGTCCGTGGACTTTTTTATGGGTAAGGCCCAAAAGTTTAACTGGGCTTTTCTTTTGTGGGCTTCTTCCCTCTCAGATTTATTCCATATAAAGCCAAACCTGCCCCCACTTCTTTTGCAAGAGTCTTTTATTTATGAGACTCCTCACCTTTCTTCTTCTCTTTTTTTGTTTTTTTTAATGAAGCTGAGACCTTTTTTTACTTAGCCCTATAGCAGAATTTCTTTCTACAAGAGCCCTTCTTTTTTTTTTAACACATAAATAATCTGCATGAACCCATTTTTCCTTCCAGCATAAATTTTTTCTCCATGAGCCTTTTTATAACTCATATGAACCGCTTTTTTTTTGTAAAACTTTTTTCTACATTCAAGCGCAAAAAATTTATTATGTGTATAACCTGCTGTCATGTTTGTTTAGCAG